TGCTGTGACCACTCCATAGGCGAGACTTCAGCTTCCCCATGCAGCAGCCTTTAAGAGGATGTTCCAAGATGTTCAGGCAGGGGACCCTGTGAGAATCCTCAGTGACAACAGATAAGCAGCTGCTTTAGAATGATGGAAACTGCACCCTTCAGACCACCTTTCTGGGCAGATAGAATAATCATTCTAAAACTCAGACCACCCACCACCCAGTGGCCTGCTGAGAACCAATCAGTGGCCTGGGGTTCCAGACCCCATGTGCTCTGTCTCCACAGACCTACTGCTATCTCCTGCCACACACCTAGGTACACCTCACAGAGGGAACACCTCAAAAGTGCCCGTCTACCCCTTTGATTCTTATTTTCTTGACTAAGTTCGTTTCCCCACAACCTTCAGGGTGGTCTGATACACAAATTGAGTCATGCCATTTCATTACTAAATAGAAGGGATGAAATTCTAGAGATTGTGTGTGTGAGTGTGTGTGTGTGTTTTCTTTTTATGTGTGTGGGTGTTTTGCCTTCCTGTTATGTCTGTGAAGTGTATGCTGTGCCTTCCGAGGCCAGAAGAGGGCATCAGATCCGTTGGAACTGGAGTTACCAGTGGTTGTGAGCTGCCTTTTAGGTTCTGAGAATGGACCCAGGTCCTCTGGAAGAGCAGCCAGTCCTCTTAATCACTGAGTAATATCACCAGCCCTAAAAACAAATTTTAAAAGAATTTATATTGCTAGCCAGGCAGTATTGGCACATGACTTTAGTCCCAGTACTCTGGAGGCAGAGGCAGGTGGATCTTTGTGAGTTTGAGGCCAGCCTGGTCTACACAGTGAGTTCCAGGACAGCCAGGGCTACATAGTGAGACTGTTTCAGGAAAAAAAAATGTAGACTGCGTGACTTTAATCCCAGCATTTGGGTTGGGAGGCAGAGGCAAGTTAGTTTTAATCTACATAGGAGCTCCAGGACATCCAGGGCTACACAGAGAAACACTGCCTCTAAACAAATTTTTTGAACATCACCAGAGGAACAGATAGACACTGTGTGCCTGCCTTCATTGACATTAAGGAAGAATGGTCACTTACACATTCTTCCAACCATGACTGCTTAGCACACACGTGAAAACAAAAACAGCAGACAGACCCAAAAGGAGAAATTTTCTATTCAAACAAAGAGGAAAGAAAGTCTATGCCACAATAAAAGATACAAGCAGGAAACCACAACATATGCTCCACGTCATTCGTAGACTCCATTATGTCCTAAAGGGAAGAAGCTAGTAAGGGTGATTAGGCGACAACCAATGACAAACACGTAGGGCTTGAGCCACTGCATCTGATCAGTGATAAGTTCAGTGAAGTGAGCAAGGCATGATTGAAAGAAATAGCCACTGTATTTTAAGTGCACACACACATGATGTATGCAACCTATCCTCCAAGTTCAGACTACAAGATGTGAGCATACATTACAGGTAGACGCATTATACATCAAGTGGTGCAGAGGGTTTACAATGGGGAGCTAGTAGTCAAAGTGTGCAGACATGCCCTGCATCACTCCCATAGCTTTTCTGTAATTTTGAAATTGTTTCCAAACCAAAATGGTCTGCATGGTCTACGACACCATCCCCACCAGCAGCCACAGGCTCAGTCCAGCCACACGGACTGCATCGGCAACGCAGTGAGCTCTCTCTCCCCTTTGAGGGTCTATTATTATTGCCTTTACATAAAAAAAACTCTGTTCTCCATACTGAGAGCCCATATTGTCATTGTCTTAACACACCCCACACTTATTTACTACATTCTCTCACAGCACTCTGAACTTTTTCTTCACATTTGTTTATAGTGTGTACTTTGTTTTTGAGATGGTGTTTTATGTAGCCCAGTTTGGGCTTCTAACTTGTTAAGTAGCCAGATAACCTTGAACTCCTGATCCTCCACTTCCCAAAGGATTGGCATTATAGGTGTGTGCCACCATGCCAGGCTAGGAGTTGGTACTCAGGGAGGACTGGTTGTGTTTATCCTCCTCAGTTGCCTGAAGGCTTCCTGAAGCCAGGTCTTGGGTCTGTTCTGCTCACGAATGTATCTCCTATACCAGCAACTGAATCTGGCACAGCACCGGGCTCTCAGCAACCAGCTGGCTGATGAGAAGATGAACCCCACTTTAAGTTCATCTCCAATCTGTTGGCAACTTTCAGAAGACATGCCCTGCAGTGGGCCTTCAGTCCCAAGTTCAATCAAGACGCAGACTCTGAGGGCCCTGGGCTGCCTACTTGCCACATCAGTTTGAAACTGAAGGGCCGTGGTGAGGATTGCTGCTGAGTGAGCTGGAACCCTAAACATCAAGAAGGCAAGGAGCTGAGTAGGGCTTTGTTCAGAGAGGCAGTCTGGTTAGAAGAGAGCGCTCTCATCTGGGTTAAAGGAAGTCTAAGGACGGTGCCTGGAGGAAGCAGAGTCTGGAGATGTAGGAGTGAGGTCAAGAGCAGGAATTGCTGTGAGGCCCAGAGGGAGGGCACTGAGGCACAGCACACTGCTCTGCACACCATCCTGGCTCAGGCCCAGCCGTGTGATGCTGGTGGGTGGAGGAATCTCAGTGCTGGTGAAAGGCTTGGACCCTGTCCTGATAGAACCTGTGTGAACGGGGGCACTGGATCTCACTTTCCCAGACTCCCATCTCTGATCTGAGGGTTTAGCTTGTGAGGCTACTGCAGGAGCCTGTGCCATCTTCGGAGGGCCCTCTGGACTGCATTTGGTCTGTGCTCTGAAGAATGAAGTGTGTACTCATAGGAGGGAGGTGCACGGCTCCCAGCCCATGAACACATCCTAAATGTGCACTCGTCACCTCTCATCACTTGTTCTCAGGTCCTTTCTGTGATTTGAGTCCTATTTAAAAATACACTGTGACTACATACATTGAACACTGTTCTTTATCTAAAACCTTTAGCCAAGAAGAGGGTTTTTTGATTGTTTATGTTTGTTTTTTCCTGAGGTGCTAGATATGAAATCCATGCCCCTTGCTCATGCTAGGCAAACACTCTACTTCAGCCCCTCAGCAAGCATCCTTCTTAAAACTGAACCTGTTGTCTCCCTGTTCCCAAGGGTGTAAGTCATACGCACTGAATTCCACCACTTGACTGCAGTAACCTCACCGGAGGTACTCTGCACCCTGCTCTCCAGCTGCACCTCAGCCCAGCCATACCACGGCCAGGAGCATACCAGTCCCTCTCCTTGGGCACTGTAGTGAAGTCTGACAGTAATTTCCTATCTCCCCATCTCCAGAGGAAAGATGGCAAGTTAGTATCACCTCACAGCTTAGAAAGCACCCTCAGGGTTCCTCTCCACCCTTCATCCTCACAACTGGCCCTGTGAGGTAGATACAGTGGGCAATGAACAACTATACAGGCCCACTTAGATCAAGCACGGACAGTGAGCTCTGCTCTGAGTTAAACGGTTCATATGTGATCTCACTTAAACTTACCACAGTCCTGTGAAATAGATCCTGTGTTCCCATTTTACAGAAGAGAAAAGTCCAGTGGTTAGAACTTGCCCCAAATCAAAGAGGTAGGAAGTGAAGAAGCTAGGATTTGAACTGCAGCCTGCCCGACTCCAACGCCATGCTGTAACCTTCCTGCAATATTGCCTTATGAAGCAAGGCTATTACTTCCTAGATATGATTCTGCCCACTACATTGAAGCTCACAGAGGTAAGTGGATCAACAAGGCCTCCAGCCAGGGCCTGGCAGAGCTAGAATGCTCTGACTCCATGAAGCTTCGATGGCTAGGGCTTCGTAAATGCTAGCACGCTTGCCTATCATTCCCGCTCAGCCCACAGGAGTGTTTCTATTCTGAATGCCTTGCTGACATTTACTGAGAAACCTGGGGGGGGGGGTTGTATTTTTGTTTTGTTTTAATCTCAAAACCAATCAGTAAACAAATTGGGGAAACAGGGAACATACTATAACTAGCTGTCCTTTAATAACCAATGCTCAACAGCACAGAGGAGTTCTGGCTAGAAGGAGCCACTGCGTCAGGTCAAAGAGCAGGCACGGGAAACTAACACATGAAGTTAAGGTAGCTACCCTTGGAGTAGAAGGGAGCTGCCACAGTCCAGTTCCCTCTTCCGTAGTCCCTGACATTAAAGTGCATGGTGACCCTCCTCCTATTGAGTGATTTGCACAAATAACATAAACATGAATGTTCTGAGAAATTATATATTTGTAACTAAGTTTTTATATCAGCAATTTCAACTCATGATTGTGGAGTACTATAAATCTAATTGGATCTGTAATCATTTTGTTATTCAAATACTACTCAGTGACACACACTGGAAGTTTCTACCTTTTGAGTATTTAAGGCTTCTAGAGATGTTTTTTGTTTGTTTTTGTTTTTTGAGACAGGGTTTCTCTGTGTAGACTTAGCTGGCCTCGAACTCACAGAGATCCACCGAGTTCTGCCTCCCTCTGAGGGAACTAAAGGCTTGTGCCACCACCGCCCAGCAAGCTCTTTTAAGCTAGTACTAACTGTGAGTTTCTTAGTTTTTGGATCTCCCCAGAATTTCTATTTATCATTTCCAAATCCTGAAAATTACTATCTCATGGAAATTTGAAAACTTCTGCCCCATTGGAAACTCAGAACTCTTATAATCAACCTTTGTTACTTGAAGTTCCCCAGTCACTCAGTAGGATAGCACCTTTCCTGGCTTCTGGGAAGCTTCCACCAGGGTTAGGCCTGGGATGGTCTTCCTGCATCAGTAACACTCTAGAGAGGTCCACCCAGGGGCCCAAGGGCTGAGCTGGAATCACTGGCCTTTACCATAGAATTTCTGCATCACCTCCATCATGGACACAAAGTTTGCTTTCCTTCTACAGGGCATCTGCTCGTTTTATTATTTAAAAAAAAAATGTTCTGAGCTGGGCATGGTGTCACACACCTTTAATTCCAGCAGTCAGGAGGCAGAGGCAGGCGGATTTCTGTGAATTCAAGACCAGCCTGGTCTAGTGAGTTCCAGGCCAGCAAAGGCTGTGTAGCAAGACAAAAAATAAATACAAATTTATTAAAAAACTGTAAAGTCCTATATAATTTTCCACTGAGAAAAATGGATGCTCCTTAAGTGAGTGCCTTAATGAAGTCACAGCTTCCACCCCACCGGCACGCCCAGCACAAAAAGTGGTATTACCAGCAGAGACTGTGGAGTCAGGCGGGTGGCAGTCAGAATGCTGGCTCTGCCACAGGCAGGCTGTGTGACTTAGGGCAAGCTCTTAACCCTCTTGGCTATCTAGTGTCCCTATCTGTAAAATGTAAAAGTAACAGGATCTATGACACAGGAATATTGTATTAAATAATTCCCACAAATTGCAATACATAGTCGAGTAAGCCCTCATTAAGTAGGTGACATTATTTCCTGGCACCACAGGCCCAATATGTTGGTAAGTCAGGAGGCAAGAGGTTGATAAAAGCCCTGGGAACCACTCAAATGACTCCTTTGCCATGGGTTCCTCAAAAATGGGTAGTTTCCAGGTAGGTTTGGTAGGCTCAGGGCTGGACCACAAGTCTCCATCTATTCCTGGACTTGGGTCCTATAGCAGGAGGCGGTGGCCTGTTCTGAAAGGTCACTAGACCATGTGTGCCCCTTGCTTGACAGGCAAGGTTGACATGTGTCTTCTCAAGCCACAGGTTAACTGGCAGGTCTAGTGTTCAAAGGCCTGTGGAGGGAGGGGAAGCTGCCAGGTGGTTGTCGGAGCGGCATCTCTACACAAGCATGAATTTTGACACCATTCACAGACTCTGCAAGGTAGCACCTACCACCTGTTGCCCAATGCTTCAGATACTGCTCACTGCTCACCAGGGTAGATCCTGTGGTTCCAAAGAGTGAAGGTGCCCCCCTGGGGGCCATGCCTGGCCCTCTGGTGGATGGCTGCCCTGGTACATGAAGAGGTGGCCTACTCAGCCCAGCGTCCACTCCTTTGTATATTCAAGTTGCTTCTAGGCATCATCCAGCGGCATCCTCAGACGCTCCTTGTCTGTGACCTGCTCCAGACCCCACAGTTTTGGACCCACAACAAGAAAGATGGGTCCATGACTTAGGGTTAGGGCCAAGTGGAGAGCTGCCTGCCTACCTTGAAGTCCACAGAGCAGGAGTCCAGCTCTGAAGCTCTCTCCACCCTTAAGTGGTGCACAACTGGATCTTGGGTCAATTAAAGAAGACCTAAGGGCCTCACTTGTGGGGTGGGCCCGCTCACCTCCCCTTCCCTTGTGGTATCGTCCTGGGGGCTCTCTGGGCCTTGCTCCCACCTCCCGGAGCTCTGGTGTCTGGCACTGTGGAAGCAGACCGAGCATTTGTCCGGAGGCCTCTCCTGGGAAGAAGCCTCCTGAGGGGCTCTGTTTTCAAGCCTTTCTCTTGGAGGGCTCTCCTTGTTATTCTCACTCCAGAATCCTGCAACAAGAGAAGAAAATATGGGTAGTTGCTCTTCTCCTTGCACACACAGAGCTGGGAGGGCGATAGGAGTCCTAACAGAGAGGCTGAGGAAGAATACTGCAAAGAGCTAAGTTCTTCTTGTTCTTCATTTTTATTTATGTATTTATTTTATTTTATTTTATTTTATTTTTATGTGTATTGGTGTTTTGCCATGGGTGTCAGGACTCCTGGTACTGGAGTTACAGACAGGTGTGGGCTGCCATGTGGGTGCCGGGAATTGAACCCGGGTCCTCTGAAAGAGCAGTCAGTGCTCTTAACCATAGAGTCATCTCTCCAGCCCTAAGTTCTTTATTTCTTTGTGTGTGTGTGTGCAGAAACATGAGGCCAAAGGGACCCTGGGTGTCCCTCAACCACCCTACACCTTAGTTTTTGGAACAGGATCTCTTACTGAACCTGGATCTCAGACTGGCCTAGCCTGGCTGATCAGTAAGATCAGTAAGTCCAATGGTTCTACCTGTTCCCACCTTCTCAGCACTGATATTAAAAATTCACACCACCAGTCTGGCTTTAATGAGACACACAGAGAGAGACCCTGTCTCAAAGTAACAAAACTTGCACTTGTTTGTTTAGTGTGCAAGGAGGGAGTGGAGACACATGCGTGAAGGCAGAGGACAATGAAATAACTGTTGTCCCCTCCACCACACGGATCCCAGGATCAAACACACACTCAGTTTAGGTGGCAGGCACCTTAACAGGCTCAGCCATCTTGGGGACATACACACCCGTCTAAGGCAAGCATTCTACCAAGTAATCCTAAGTTCTGTGTTCTGACAGAAGACAGAAGCTGAAACATAACCTGGGTAGAGATCTGAAGGATGTAGCAGACTCTCTTAGTGGCCTGAGTCTTAGTCCCAGCACTTCGTTACGCTGTAATCTGGGCAGCTGCACACATCTGTACAGCCTCAGCTTGCTCAGCCATAAGACGGAGGGAACAGAGGTGGCAATCGTGTGGAAAGTGGTCCACAGGTCTTCAGGAAGGCAGGGCACATGCTTCCTTAAAATGTTCTCCATTTGGCAACATTGGCAGCCCTGCCCTCTGCCCTCCGCAGCACTGCTAACAGCATCTATCCCGAGCCCTGCCCTCTGCCCTCCGCAGCACTGCTAACAGCATCTATCCCGAGCCCTGCCCTCTGCCCTCCGCAGCACTGCTAACAGCATCTACCCGAGCCCTGCCCTCTGCCCTCCGCAGCACTGCTAACAGCATCTATCCCGAGCCCTGCCCTCTGCCCTCCGCAGCACTGCTAACAGCATCTATCCCGAGCCCTGCCCTCTGCCCTCAGCAGCACTGCTAACAGCATCTACCATAAGTCAACAGGAGTCTTTTGAGGGTAAGCTGAGACAGGAAAGAGAAAGATGTGTCTGCAACATCTTCTGACATCAGAAAGCAGAAGCACGTCAAGGATGTCTGGTGCAGTGACACAAAGATAAGATGTTCATTAAATTATGGTCACTGTCCAAGCTGTAACAACTTGCAAACCCTAAAGTTCTCAACCTGGGGAGCTTTTAAAAAGATTACTGAGATCCAAATCCTAAAAGAACAGTCATAGCTGAGCCATGGTGGCTCACACCTTTAATCCCAGCACTGGGGAGGCAGAGGCAGGTGGATCTTTGTGAATTTGAGGCTAGCCTGGTCTACAGTGAGCTCTGGAACAGCTAGAGCTACAGAGAGACACTGTCTCAAAAAAAATTACAAATTTAAAAAATCTTTTTGAATTATAATAATAATGAGAAGAGATAAAACTTAGTGGCTATGAATCACTAATTAGTAAATTTCAGTGTTAAGTTCACAGTGTTCCATCTGCTACATCTATTTTGTGTGTTTGAAAAAAAAATTAAGATAGGGCCTCATATATTCCAGGCTGACCATAATTCACCATATATCTAAGGATGACCTTGAACTCCTGACCTTCTGGCCTCTACCTCCCAAGTGCCGGAATGAAGGGCACACATAAAATGGCTAGCCTGGAACTCATAGATCTTCTTGACTCTACCTTCTAGAATTAAAGGTATGTGCCAACATACCCAGTTTCTAAAACTTGTAAAATATGTTTCGTGTGTGTGTGTATATGTGTGTGTGTGTACTGTGTGTATGTGTGTTAGTGTCTGTGGAGGCCAGAAGGGAGTTAGGAACTGGCATTGTAGGCTTTCATAAGCCCATGTGGGTGCTGGGAATCAAACTCAGGTTTTGCAGAGCAGGACTCTTAGCCACTGAGTCAACTCTCCAGCCTCACAAAATATTAAAACAACAACAATAAAAGCCATACAAAACGGAGTTTAGAGCACTTGTTGCTCTGCAGAGGATCTGGGGTTCAACTGCCAGCCCCACAGGGTGGCTCACGGCAGTCTGTAACTCCAGTTCTGGGGTCACACCTGCTCTTCTGGTGTCTGCACGCCAGGCATGAACATGGTGCACAGATTATACATTCAGACAAAAGATTAATACACATAAATCTTTTTTTTTAAACCATACAAAATATACTAGGTATGGCGGCACACGCCTTTAATCTCAGCACTCTGAGGGGCAGACACAGGTGGGGCTTTGCAAGTTCTGGATGGACCAGTCAGTCAAGACAGCAGAGTGAGACCCTGTTTCAAAAATAACAAAACATTATAGATCTAGGCACACCCACTGAGGAGCTGCCTGAGGTCTCTAGAGGCATAACAGACTTTCTGTTCTGTGCTGGGTTTTCCTCTATACTGTCATTTTGTGCCTGCCTGTACCTAAGGTGTCCTCAGCAGAGAGATCTCTCAAGGTGTGAGGCAGGAGAGATTCCTTAGTGTTGGAAGCAGCATTCTGAAGATGTTCCCCTACCCAAAGATTTCTGTCCCCTGAGGAGACAAAGCCACTATTTAGGAACCACCACTAAGGAATTTCAAAGATATAATTATAGTCCCATTTTAAATCCTGGCATCAAATTTCTACATCAGGAGACACTGAGGTGGCAAAGGATCCTGTCCCTGCTGCCCAGCTTACATCAGCCAAAAGGTGCTCCGCAGGCTGCAGAGGGGTGGACACCATCATTGGTCTCATGATCCCTGATCTCCTAAAAGAGGGTCCTAACTACATTCTGCCTTATTTTCCCAAGTTCCGAATTTTGCTAGGGGAGGACCTGTGTGGCCTCTGAGAAATAATGGTTAAGTGGTTAATTCTGTAACAGGGTTGAGGGCTCAGGAAGAGGATGATTAATGGACTCCTTTAACCCCAATACAACAAGCCAACACTGATACTCTTAACACAAGCAGCCTGGGGAAGCCAGCTAAGTTGCTCACTTTCCAGGACATAGCAGGAAGCTGCACATGCTGGCCGACTTATAGACTTACAGAAAGTGCTCCTTGCCCCAAAGCTCTGTGGATGAGGCTGCTCTTGGTCCTGCAGCAGTAGGATCATGTCTGCAAGTCTGTTCAACCCTGGCTGTCAGGGACTGAATGGAACCTTCCCCTCAGACTCATATGATGGGAGATGTCATTCTGTATATGTTTCTCATACTGGTTAATGAATAAAGCACTGTTGGCCAATAGGAAAGGAAGATAGGAGGGACTAGGAGACAAGGAGAAAATAGGAAGTAGGAAGGAGGAGTCAGGATGGAGATCCTGGAGAGAATAAAACCGCCATTCCTCCGCTCTCAGTAAGACCACGTGGAAATACATAGAAATGGCTTAATAATTAAGACAGAGCTAGCCGATTAGAAACTAGCACCTGGCCAATAGCATTATATCAAATACATAGTCTCTGTGCATTATTTGGGGCTGGCGCGGCGGCGGGACAAGACCGGGCGGCAGGTGGAAAAACTGTACGCGTTACACTCATACATTGAAGTCCTAACTCCTAGTACTTCAGAAAATGGCTACACTTAGATATAGGGTCTTTAGTAATCAATAACTGAATTAAAAAAATCATCAGGGTCAGTGCTAATCTCACATGATTGCTGAGGAAACTTGGATAGAGTATGCCAAAGAAGACCATGTAAAGACACGGAGAAAATGGCTAAGGAGAGAGGCCTCTGAAAAAAAAAAAAAACAACCTGCTAAGACCTTTCCTTAGACATTGAGTCCTCAGAACTGTGAAGGGCACTTCAGAGCTGGAAGCCCTCTGAGGCCTGTGGGTCAGCACTGTGAGCATCAGTGGCACCAGGCATAGCTGGCTGGCCTCTACACTCCCCTGACGGAAGACGTTTCAAGTTGAGTATGCCATGAAGGTGGGAGAGACAGTACAGCTATTAGGAACAGATGAAAAGAGATGGTAGAAAAGCTAGCCCTTTCTAAACTTCATGGAGAAGGCTCCACCAAAGGACTTTTTAATGTTAACCAACATGCTGGAATTATATATAATATAGTATTTGTTAGCAGACAGGAGAAGACACTGCCAACTTTAGATCTAACTTTGGCTTTAAGAACCCTATAAACCACCTCACAGACATGCTTGTACACACTATGGTGTTCTTACAGCGTTGGGGTCTTACAGTGAGAATGATGGAGCACAGGTTGACCCATCTGGTGTTTCGTATGGTTTGGGGGCTGGGCCATCGGCAAAGCCAGGCAAGCTGCAGAGCCAGAGTGGAAAGGCTTCAGATGAAAGGGACGACCTTTAAAGAAGTTGTGAGGATAACTGACGTCATTCGTGAATTAACTGAAGGAATGTTATGGAATATCGAATCACACTATGTGGAGACGTGTCAGTCTTTTATCTTGCCTATCTAAAGTACCCGACTGGTTTAATAAAGATAGGAACTCTGAGATGAAGAGAGGCAGAGCCACCAGCGAGGCACTAAAGCAGTCGGGTCGGTACTGAGCCACGTGCCAGAACCTAGATTAATAGAAACAAGTCAATTTAAGTTGTAAGAGCTAGCTGGGTGCAAGCCTAAGCTAAAGGCCAAGCATTCATAATTAATAAAAAGCCTCTGTGTCATTCTTCGGGAGATGGCGGTCCCAAAACAAAGTTTGACAACAAAGGAAGACAT